GAACATGAAAACTCAAACTTTGAATCACTAAATATCTCTTAAAAGGCAGCTTATAGAGAAGTTAGGACATGCCAATGATAAATGACATTTCCCATTAATGTATGAGAGTAATTTAATAGTCATGATCAGGTACTCATCTTACTTGTTAATTAAGTTTGTAATTTGCACTGTAAATTAGAAACATGAACCAAGGGCGGTGTCTTCATCATGAAGGAGACGAAAGAAGTTCAAGAGCATCACAGGAATGTCTAAGAAGAGCATCTTCCATTTATGTGGTCATATTAAAGGAAAAAGGTTCTTTTTTTTTTTGATAAAGTAGTTTTGGCCATTGGATAGATCAGAATAATACCAATTTTGGTTAACAGAGATCACGGTTTGTAGAGTCATGAGATCTAACATTGGTTGCCATGTTCGAGTTTCAACTGATACATGATCAATCATTCATTCTTTGGTAGGGTTACAAATTTACCTAGAGCAAGGATGAACGGCTAAGCGAGCAAATGCATGTATGGTGCATGGAAATACAAGCATTTCTAGGTGACAAAAAAAGAATATCATCAATTTAGACCTGATCAACATTTCATGCTGTCATATGAGATGTCTCCATTGTCATAGTCTTCAGCTTTTGACCTCGCAATCCATTCCAGAAGGCCGCTGCACTCACCACCTTCTTACCAGGAAGCTGAACCTCCAATACCTATTGAATCAGTGAATGTTCAGGATAATTGACATTTTAGGCTCTAGCAAGAAGATATACATATACTTGTTTGTGACCTTTTTCCCTCCCATTCAAAAGAAATCATTAAAGAAGAAAGAAAAAATCAAGTGAAACAAATGATTCTATAATCTGTAAGGTTCAAAGAACTAGTACGGTATATGCTTTGAAATTGCATGTTAGAGTGTTCAGTATCAACCTCAGCTTGTGGAGGAGGAACAAATGTTTCTCAATACTTCAATTCTCTACATTTATGACAGAATTTGGTATCTCAATAAACTTTTAAGTAGACAATATGTTGTCATAAACATAAGACGATGCAACTTTGCTGAACACGTGTGAACCATTCCCTGAAAAGCTACAGAAAATGAAATTTTGGCATACCTCAAGCTCTGTGCACCCTCCACAGGGGAATACCAAAGCACCTTCCATAAAAACAATGTCATCTGCTTCATTGCGATGAATATTGCCATCAGAGCATACTCTAGTTGTGACTATTTTGAGTTCTAAGATATTGCAGCTGCTATTTTTATCATCAATAACTGTAACTTTAGCTCGGGTTCCTGGCCATCCTGCAAATGCACAAACCTAAAGAGGTTGCTTGTCATGACTGCATAGCGAGAGTCCAAGGACTAGGGAGATAAGGTACCTTATTATGTAGGACTGAAGCTTCTTGATCAAATGGTAACCATGACTCTTCAGGAGTTATCTGCTTAAAACAGGGAAATATTAAATTTGCAAAAAAAAAAAGAAAAAAAGAAAAAAAGAAGTGTCCAAGTTCACTAATGATAACATGCTTCAGTAATAAATCTGTTGCAAGCAAAACTTAGAACAAGTACATGGGAAACTGGCCCACCATACATCAAAGGAGAAAACAGGCCTCTCACATGGGAAATTAATGAAATTGAAGACAGGGATGATAAGCAATTAGCAGAGAAATTAAAAACTTATGCTTTAGAAAATGTTAAGGAATCCAACCTTAAAACTAATTGGAAGAGGTATAACAAACCCCAACACTCAACCGATGTGTGATATTACCACCACTTAAGAAAGGTCAAGATTAAATATGCTTGAATGTTCATAGATTGATTCCAGGAAACCTCAAAATAGTTCTTTAAAACAAACCTGGGACATAGTGAACGAATTAAAAATAAATCCATTCTTTTCCAGTACCTCTTCCACTACAACATGAAGAAAAAAATCATGGTTTACCTTCGGAGCTAAGGTAGCTTTAGAATCATCTTGAGGTTCTGCTTTTTCCTTGGCTGATCCATTAAAAATGGAGGGAAGCTCACGAATTAGAAGTTTAGAACCTGTGTAATTAAAGAAAGCATCACAAACACAAAAGAAGAAATGGAAAGGAGAAAGTAACTGAACCAAAAAAGGGATATGCCTACATACATGAGCAAAATGATTAATATTGTAAAAAATGAGTAGGAAAAAGAACGCACCTTGAGAAAAAAGTAATGCAAGTAGTTCTGGTGCCTGCAAGTCAAAAGTAATAAAGTAGTTAACCTAATAATTAAGAAAAATATTTTTCCTTTAAGGAAAAGATTAATAAAATAGGGAGGCTGTATGCTAATAAATGTGATTGTAAACATAAACTATTTAAGCAAAATTGGAGTTGGAGGCATACTACTACTCAGCAGATGTGCATGCATGATTAAGTCTGTGCATGCATGCCAGTGTCAGAAAACACGAGTTACAATGCCACATCAAATACAAGAGCAGAAAAAAGGTAAAATGAAAAGAAAAAGTAAACCACAGAAAAAACTAAAAATTTAAAGTATGCATCTGATGAAAAGGGCTCTACATGGAAGTACAATTTGCCTACTAACATAAACCTTGTTTGCAAATCAGTAATTGGTCTTTAGACATCTTTTTGACTCATCAAGCTAAAGTTTTAGTGTTGGCCAAAAAGACAGCTAAAGTTTTCACAAAAATGAAGAATGCTGATCTCATAGATTATAAGAGCCATTATCATTGTTGTAATTACAGGAAACGTTTCTCCTTACCTTAATCTCATCATCAACTTTTAATCTTTCACAAGCAATGACAGGTCCAGCATCTAGAGCACGCACAGTGAATGCTAATGATACTCCAGTTTCTTTAACACCATCCTATTGCATAGACTGAATGTGATTGTATGTCATGGGGAAATTACATAAACATCCAAAGAAGTGAAGAACTATAATGAGATACATAAAAAGGAAGAACCTGCAATGCTCTTTGAACAGGAGCAGCACCACGATATAATGGAAGTAAACTTGGATGTATATTAACTGTCCCTGAGAAAGCACATTGAAACTTCAAGATAATTAATATAACTATTTTACTAACTCAATAAATTGCCTCATAAACTCCAGAAGAAATTTATACTTTTTCCGCAAAGTATTAAAATTCCTTCTAACGGAGTCAAATTGAAATTAGAACAATAACTCAAGGCTATCTATAGTTACAAAAGGTATTGTTGTCTAGGTTGAAGCAACAAATAATAAAACTCCAAGTTTTGTTAGCAAAAGTACCATTGACTAACCTAATGGTGGAATATTCAGAAACTTGTTAGGTAATATATTCCCATATGCTGCTGTTATGCAAAGTTCAGGCTGCAAAGTTCTCATACTAGACAAGAAGGTTTCCTGCAAAAGATGAAAGAAAATCAAATTGTTTTAAATTAGATATTCCATTTCAAGAAGGTCCAGAATGTTGCCTTGGATGAAAGCTAGAATGTCCATTGCAACTGATAATTAACTCAAACTTACAAAGAATCATTCTAATTTCAACTCAAACTTACAAAGAATCATTCTAATTTCAGTCACAAAAAGGAAAACTCACATCTCGGGCACGTTCAGGAGTGAAAATGAGATCAGAAGGGAAACCTCGATCCAGGGCATATTCAGCCACAGGTGAAGGCATCACCTTTCTACCCCTATCTCTTCTAGAAGGTGGTTGAGTAACGATTGCCGCAACCTAAAGAACACAAGTTATCAATCCACAACAAAATTCTTGCTATTACCCCTGCATTGTTACTTTAACATCATTTAATTCCAGAAATTCCCTTCTGAAAACAAATTGGGGAAAACAGGTACGAAATGGTCTTTAAAAAAAAAACCCAAAGTATCAAATTAAGCCAACCATCAATATATCTCATTATGCATTATCTCCTTTAGGAGAACCTTAACAACTAAAATAAACCACTATTACATATCTTTAAAAAAAAAAAAAAAGTCTTAAGAGCATTGCAGATTCAGTACCTCAAAAGAGGAGTTTGGAGCAGCAGCTGCATTGAAAAGAGCATCTAGGACCGTGGCAGACACCTGCATAGAAGCCATTTCGAAAGAACCAACGAGTGCTTACGGTTTGGGAGTGTAAACAGTAGAAGTTTGCATTCATATATGCGTACCTGAGGAGAGCCCAAGAAGACAAGTGGTTTCTTCTTGGAAGTAGAGGCGGAAGAGGCTGCCGGCGTTGATGCGGCGTTGAAGCAGAAGAAACGACGGAGCATCATGGATGAATTCATTTCTATGCTTCTTCCACGGCTTATCTTCAAGTACCGTGTTGGGATTTTTGCTCCGGCGATCCCGTCGGAAGCAAAGCCGCACAACAAAATGGAAAAACTGAAATTGGCGTCGGATTTTACCCATTTTGTTGTATTTTGGGCTTTGAGGTGGGCCCACTTTCAGTGCCAATGACATGTGGGTTGGGCCTTCAATGGTTTAATTTTTCGAAAATGTTTTTTCAGTACCAACTGCCCAAAATGCAGCTGTAGATATTTAAATTAACAAAAACACTTTTATTAATAAAACAACTTTTATTTTTTTTTGAACATATTATAATTATTTATAAGTTAACTTATAAGTTAACTGAGGGATAAAGAGAAAGGATTTTTGTAAATTTCGAATCTCTCATGAACTCCCATGAATTGTACTTTCGAACTTCAGGAAACCCTTTCCTTCCATCCCCTAATTAACTTGTAAATAATTACAATATATTCAACGGAAACTCTTTCTTCCCATCTCTTAATTAACCTGTAAATAATTACAATATATTTAAAAAAATAAAAGTTTGTCGTGGATGTAAAACATAATATTTATTAATAGTATTTTAATAATTTCTATATCTCAACTTAGTTGATATTTTTAAAATTATAAAATATAAATTATTAAACAAAAAAGATGAATTCATTAACACACGCTCTTCATTATTCAATAATTATTGTCTTATAATTTAATACAATTAAAACAACTAAATACATTTTAACCATATTAAATAATTTTCCAACTAAGGGATAAATTTTTTTTTATTAAATCGGAATATAAGAGATATTCCAAACGCATACATTAAGAGAATAATAAATCTCATATGAAAGATCAAATAGCAAGAGTTCCACACAGAATCCATTGTGGCTCATGAAATGGGACTGATGCGGAAGCCAGTTCATCTTCTCGTAACTTATCACCGGATACGATTCACGTGAGAAAATGGCTCAGGGTTTGCCTTTGGAGCAGGCTTTGAAACTTCTGGGGCACCAAAAACATTCCAGAATCTCAAGGTCTCGTCTCCAGCAGCAGTTGCTACCGTGCAACCATCAGGACTTTGGGTCATGAAAAGTACTCTAGATGTATGACCAGTTAGCTCTGCCATCTTCACCATAGATGGATACTTCCAGAGAGTAAGCTGATTTTGAGTGAAACCATGGGAACTAAGAAGCTCTCTCTCATTCTTGTTCCACAGCAAAGCACATACTTGTGAGCCCGTATCAATTGAATTCAAGCAAGCACCCGTATGTGCATTCCAGAACTTTATGGTCCGATCACCTCCACCTCCACCAGAGGCTAGCAAATTGCTCTGGAAAGGACACCAAGCAAGGGCTTTTACAGCAGAAGTATGATCCTCCAGCCTGTGAAGCCATTGTGTCACTGAATTTGAAGATGCCACGGATCTATCCCAAATGTGAATGACATTATCGTTTCCTCCACTTGCTAATTGTTGTCCCGAGGGTGACCATTTCAATCCACAGACCTCCTGCTGGTGACCTCTGTATGTTTCAACAATGTGTGATCTGATTCTGACATCGTTGTTGATTATTTGACCGTCCATCCCTCCAGTTGTTAGGATGTGATTGTTCCATGCTAGAGATCCCACCCGTGATCTGTGACAACCTCGCAGAGTACGTAGCTGAAAAAATCAGAAATAAATTCATTCATCATCAGTGCTATATCCAACAGAAAGCTAGAACCAAAAAAGCTGTAGTCAAAATTTGATGAAGAAAACCACAAGATTCATAACAAACCTGTCTGTTAGCAGCAGAATCCCATAACTGTACTTCAGAATTGTTCAACCCAAGGGCAATATGCCGACCATCAGGAGCCCAATTTACACTTGTCACCGGGCCAATTTCATCATCAATAGTGACAAGTTCTGATGTAGAACCATTTGAAGCATCCCACAGATACACCGAGTTGCCAAGAGCAATTGCGAGAACATTGCTGCTACCCCAATCTAACAAGTTGAGGTAAAAGTCATCGACAAGGTCTGGAGCATCTAATGTCCTCTCGGAAGTCTGTAAAAGAAAATCAAATGAAAGAAAATTCAGAATGTGACTATTTTTCACTGTCAAAATCTTCATTCATCTTTAAAACATTCCTGTTCAAGCATCCCATCTTGCAAGACAGAAAACGTCACCAAAAAACTTGCTAATCAACAGATAGATTCAATTTCTTCTCAATTGTTGAATTCAAAACTCGTTAATGTTTATAAGACTGGAGATAATTGAAGGTAAAAACTACATATAGATGAATATAAACACCTGAGGGATGTTCCTCCGAGACTTTGCAGATTTCACAGGGTTAAAAGATGAGGAGTGCTGGTGTGGGAACAGTTCAACAGGCGTTGGTGGTTTGTCCTTGAAAGCCAGGATTCGTGTCCTATTCATGTTGAGTGCTTCAGCCAGCTGCTTCCGGTATGCCTCCCTGGACGGTGAGATCACTGCTGGGTTTTCCTTACCTTCCATCCCTTCCGTTAGCATGAAATGTGCATAGTCAAAATCCATTGCCGAACGGTTTGGTATGAACCTGTCCAACTGGTAGAACCCAAAAAAAAGGAATCCCTTTTAGAATAAAAGAAGCAGAACCCAGAATTTGGGATCAAAGAGCAGGGGGGAAAAGCCCTAAATTGGGAGGAAAATCCACAAATCAAGAACAAAAAAGCAAAAACCTAGATTTATCAATCAATTTCTCACATTTTCTTTAGAATTTCTTCTCTGAAGAAGTTGTTCTTGAAGTGGGTACCTAGATTGTCCCTTCAAGTTTGAAGAAGAATTCAAAGATCCTGCATCCATAACTTTATATACCAAAAAAATACGAAATGCAAATAGCCAAAAAGAAAGATCCTGCAAGAAATTTCAAAATAAAAAAAAAAGGAAAAAAAAATACAAACTCTAACACCTGCAGCAAAACAAAAAATCAATATTTAACAAAATTAAAGAAAACAATAGAAAATGTTAGAAACAGGGGATGAGAGCGCGCGAAAGGATAGAGCTTGGCAATGTTGAATTCGAGCAAGATTTGATTGAAGAATGAAACTGAGTGGACGGGCTTATATAGGGATTGTGATGCTGGTAGTCTAGGGTTTGCAGTTGTCTTCTTCGAATGATTAGTTTATAGAAAAAATTCTCCCCGAGGAAGGTCTAGGTTTTCTGAGAGCGGCACAACGGCTATTTTTTTTGACTAAAGACGTTGGAAAATGGATTGACAAAAATACCCTCTTCCAAAAAGGATTCCTAAATTCGGACTTTTATTTTTTATTTTTTTTATATTAATCTTTTCGTATCTAATAATTATATTAGATTTGATTAATTTAAAATTAAATCAAGTTAAATTTCATACAAAAGAAAATTCTCTCAACATTTTTCTCTTTATTTATAAAATTTAAACTCAAAATTTTATTTAAATAAATCAAATATATTTTACTCATACCAGTAACAAGTGATATTTTTCCTAATTAGGATTTTCGAACTCTACGGGACAGCTAACGATGTGACTTTCTCTCTGATTTTTTTTTTATTATTATTTATGCAAATTTAGGTAATACTAGTTTTTTTTAAAATATATAATTAAAATGTTATGTCACATTTAACAACATAACATTATGTGTAATTATATAATTAATTTTGTTATTTTAATATTATATATTTATTTAATAACATATTACATTTATTAAATGATATATCATAATTATAAATTTATAATTTTATCTAATATTATAATTATAACATTATCATTATATTAAAAACTATAGTATTGTCATTTTTTATTATATTTTATATAAGAGTTAAGATTCACTTGTACAACTCTTATACATATCAATTAAATAAAATATTTATTATTTATCTCTTTTATAAATAATTGATATTAATATACTTTTTATCATTTTTTTAAATAATTATATTTTTATTTAAAAATTCTTGATAAATCTTAATTATTTATAATAAAAAATAAATGACCGTTATTATATGTAAAGAAAAATGCTATGGATACTTTTCTAACACCCTCTTTTGAGCACTCTTGTTTTATTGAGAAACATGTAATATAAATTTAATATCATTGATCATAATTCAAGATTTGAAAACATTAACTTCCATATAACTACCCGTCACTGCATTAAATTTATGTTTTATGTGATCTAATCATATGAAAAGTGTTCAAAACAGAATATTAAAAAAAGAGTGTTAAAAGAGAGTATTTCTAACACTACTTTATTAATATATTTGGAATGAAAAAAAGGGGAAGAATGAATAAGAAGGGAAGAGAAAGGAGAGAAAAATTTTATTTTAATCAAATTATTTATTTAAATAACAAAAATAAAAAATATATATAATTTCTCTTTTCTCTTTTCCTTTTTCTCTTTTCTTCTGAACCAAAATATAGAGGGTACATGTAAAACTTGTACCTAAAAATATCCTATCTCTTTATTAAAAAGAATTAAATAAATTAACAGAAGAAGTTAACGAGTTCCGTTAAAATTGGGTTTTAATTGCTTAAATAGAGGAGTTTAGGGGTGCAATCATCATCAGAAAAATATTAAAAGGTGAAATAAAAAAACTAGTGCAAGTTTGAGGACTTATCTGCAAAAGTATCCCCGAGGTGGATAGCAGTGTTGGATTTCCCCTTAACTTCATAACGTCGCCGTTTAAAGAAAATCGCTGCTATCTCCCCTTTCCCTTTGGTTAACCCGAAAACTAATCCTAATCTGTGTTTTATCTTTCTCATCAATTTTCCGACGAGCCAAACAGCAGGAGCAAACGAAACTGAGAAAATTCCCATATCCGACAACCTCACAAAGATGGAGATGAGTTTAGCAAACCTAGTAGCCCCACATACTAAACCTATGTGTCTTGTTCAAAAACAGTTTGTGTTTCTAAATAACAGGAACAGGGACACCATTCGCAGTACTGGTTGGACCAAAAGTAGAAGAAGGACACCCACCTGTGTTCTGGGTGCGAAGAGCTCACAGGTAAGGAGACAGACCTTATCCAGCAAATGGGATGTGCCTGATTTTTCTGCTACCACTTCATCTCCATGGCTGCCCAGATTCGAAGAGCTTGATACCACCAACATGCTTCTCCGGCAAAGAATTGTCTTCTTGGGCGCTCAGGTTTAACTCTTACCATCTTTTCTCTTCTAGAATTCGTCCATTGGTTATGTTGTGTATCACTTGTATATTTGTTTGTTTTTGTGGGAGATAGAGGGAAGGGGATTATAGGTGGGTTATCTTCCATGTGATGGTTGGTTGACGATAGTACGATATGGGAAGTTCCGATTATCAATTGATGGCATTCATCTTATAATATCATAGTGGTTAATTTATGTGAAATCTTGTAGCTGCTTATGGCTTCTTTTTTTTTTTTTTTTGGCCATTGTTTATGCCTAAGTTATTTGCCTATGAATGATGGTAAACTAATGGCTGGAAATTTTAGAGGAATTTTCAAAATTTTCAAGTTTGTCTTTTAGAAAAAAGTCATATTGATGTTTTCAGGTGGATGATCCAACAGCTGATTTCATTGTAAGTCAGCTCTTATTTCTTGATGCTGAAGATTCAGAGAAAGACATCAAATTGTTTATTAATTCACCTGGTGGCTCTATTACTGCTGGTAATGCTATAGTTTTGTTTTCTATGCTTCTCGCCTTTATTTGGATGTTGCTTTTAAATTGTATACCCTGTTTAATTTTTTGGGATCTTTTTGTGAAGATAAGTCCATGATTTAAACCAAGGCAAGCATCCGAAATTCCTAGCTTGAATAACATGAATCTGAACCTGTTATTTCAGAGGTCCTGCAAGGGATTAGTTGAGGGTTAAAATATGAAGCACACTAAGAAACTGGTTCTTGAAAAGCTAGTTAAGACCTCAGAAGCTAATGGCTGTGAATCATGACCGGTTTGCTGGAGAATCCCATGTTAGTTGTTGCATAGATGGTTTCAGGCAATAGGTGAATAAATCAATCAAAGATGAAGCAGTTCATCATGTAAACAACAAAATAAATCTCTAGATTTGAATTTCTGCCAAATCATCAAGGAGATTTTTTATGATGCTAAATGTTTTGATTTTTGTCTAGTCTGGTGGAAAGACCTATGTGTAAATTTTGATTATCTACTTCATTGCATTCTTCATTTCTGAACATCATATCATCTTTGATAGTCATATCTAATTAATGAATGGTTCTCCCTACCTTATATATTTTTAATTCTTTGAAATTTAAAAGTTTCAAGAATCCGATAGATCTTTCAAGCTCTTGGTCTTATATATGATCATTTGGGTCTCACATATGGAAAGTGGATGAGTGCCATTTCCTGAGAATGGAAATTGTGTTAGTTAACTTCAAGTGCAAAATAATCAGCACATTCTATTCTTTAAATTGGGAATTTTGGTTAATTGCTTAATAATAAGACTTGCGTTGGGACCCTGTGTAAGAATGCTTGTTAATGATGCTAGTGGATTTATTTGAGGCTTTATTTTTGGTTATTTCACTTAATTGAGTAAATACAAGGAACTCCTTAGTTGCCATACTGATTTTGCTGTTCTTTCTTCATTGGTTTGATGAATGTAGGAATGGGAATCTATGATGCAATGAAATTGTGCAAAGCAGATGTTTCAACTGTTTGCCTAGGACTTGCTGCATCAATGGGTGCATTTCTACTTGCTGCTGGTACAAAAGGGAAGAGGTTTTGCATGCCCAATTCAAAAGTGATGATCCATCAACCACTAGGAAATGCTGGAGGCAGTGTAAGTCTTGGTGTCTGTTTAGTTTTCTTAGTGGTGGTGGTGGACCTCATTGACTACATGGTTTGTCTGGCTTGGTTAAAGTCAAATGCTGCTAAAAAAGAACTGCCTGTTGTTGTCAAGATTGAGGTTGAATTCTGGTGATCCTCTCTCTGCTATGTCTCACTATCCTATTATGCTTGCACGTGATTACAGGTAACAGAGATGAGCATTCGAGTAAGAGAAATGATGTATCACAGGATTAAGCTGAACAAGATACTTTCAAGGATCACAGGGAAACCTGAAAAGCAGGTTGGGCACTGTGAATCCTTCAGACTTGAGACATAACAGTCTTCTATCATCAATTCTTTCTTTTATTTCATCATATGCTTTGCCTTCATATTTTATTACCTTCTTTTCTTCTCCTTTCAATTGTTCTGCAGATTGAAGAGGACACTGACCGTGATTATTTCATGAACCCCTGGGAAGCCAAGGAATACGGACTGGTAGATCTTGTTATTGACGATGGCAAGCCAGGACTAGTTGCACCTATTACAGATGCCACACCTCCACCCAAAACCACGATATGGCACATGTGGAAAGTTGACGGGAGCAAGGAGGCAAAGAAGAACTTGCCTACAGAGCATATACTTTTACAAAATGGATCTGTTCGGGTTCCAAAAACCAATGAATAAAGAGGCAGGCTCAGAAGAGGAAAACAAAACAAAGCACCTACTTCATGAGATTTGGGACATAATTCTTAGTATGTGTGCTTATGGTTATCAATTACTGTAACAAATTTTTAGGAAATTCAAAAGGGAACAATGTAATGGCCCTCAATTGCCCTTGAATCTGGAATACTTTTGTGCACCTTAACTAGCTCGGAGTGCTATAATTCTCTAATTATGTATTCTTTTGGGGATTAAAGTTCATGTTTAAACAATAAAAAATTATTTTGTAATCTGAATTATACCAAACTGCTAAACAGGGGATCCTTAAACAAAAATGTAATAATTGGCACAAGATTCTTCACTGACCTTTTTTTCTTTAAAAAAAAAAATGGCATAGGATGAGATGGGCTGGGTCGTTCTTCTAAGTCCAACTAACTCAAACATAAGTGGTAGGCCCTGAACATATTCGCCCCCAGAAGATTAGTTGGGTTTGAACTTTGAAGGGTCGAGCACTTGACATTGAGATGAAGACGACGGAAAGGGTGAAGAGTGGAAGATGATGAAGCAGAGGAACATGGTTCTCACAGTTTCTTATCCACAGTCTTTCTTCCCTTCTTTCACGGTAAACCCATCAATCTCTCTGCAAAGAGTGCGGACTCAGCTGGGATTCAGAAATTCACTCGTAAATCTTCCCAAATCGTTCCCAATCCATTGTGCTGCAAACCCAAATACCCAAAACCTCAGAACTTGCAAGAATTGCAAGACCCAGTTCGACCTTTTGCTCAATCACCCTCGCGCCTGCCGCTTCCACACTGCCCATTTTGGAGGTAATGATCATTTCTCTCCATACTTTGTGCCTGTTTCATCATGACTGTGTATTTTGGTCTTTAACTGTATACCTGTGATTTCCTTGATCTTGTTATATAAAGGATGTTGCTTTGTAACTATATGTACTCTGTTTGTTATTTTATACATTGGAAAGTTAGTTGCTTGGCATCATGGAAATTTCAACTTCTGACCCTCGGTCCCAAATGAAGGTTTTTAAGTTAGTGGGTATTAGCTTGGTTAAGTTCTTGTTGGTACCATATGTATTCTGTTTGATAATGCTATATATTCTCTACAAGCTTCCTTTTTTAAAGATTTTGCTTGAAGCTGGTATTTTGTCATTGTGGGTTGTAATTGCTGAAGTTTTGTTTAATTGATTGATCACATATACGTGTGTAATTCCTTGGAAAAATGTAATAAAGAAAACGATTTTAAGGTTAGGTTAGGTTTACCCCTGATATTTCTGGGAAGGTTTAACTAGAAAACTGGTTGGGACTCATGGGTGTTCTTTTTCTAGATTGGATTCCAAAGATTTGGGGTCTGAATGATTAATCAACAAGTTAATTTTGAATGGGAAGGTAGGCATCAGGGTGAAGTTAAAGAAACTTCAAACTTCTGATTTCTTCTCTATAATCATTTGTCTGTAATTGGAAATATTAAGAAAGATGTTAGTTTGTGTGGTGCACATTAGTGGAATGGTGAGTATGCTGATGTTTTCAGCAATGTTGAGGGTGAGGGGTAGGGGAAGGGGAGGTGAGGGTTGTAAAACTGCAATGTTGATAGATGTTGTTGATCCAAGTTCTAACTGAAATGTGACTGTGATCATATTCTTCTATTTGTTTTCCTCTGTTTTCTCATCGTTTCCACCTTATTTCCATATATTTCCACCTTATTTCCATATATTTCCACTTCTCATTCTTTGTATTTCTCCTTATTTATCTATTCTTTGTTTCTTGCTCTGCATCCTGCATCTTCTAACCCCAGAGAATGTTATTTGTTTGAAGCATTGCCACCTTTTTGAGTTTAGAATTTGATTGACCGATAGACATGAAAGGTAGTCCTTCTCATGAGTGCTTTCTGAACACTTACAATACCTTCATATTTGTTTCAGGAGAAACAAAGAGGAAATTTGAGAGTGTTTACTCTGGTGGCACCATGGATACTCCGGACTCTGGAAAAGTTTTTCAATACTGGCATTGCTGTGGCTCTGAGGACCCCTTGGATCCTGGATGCACTGCTGCTCCTCACTCCTCATATGATGACTAATGCCTTTCATCCTGAAACTCGAACATTTAATTGAAAAAAAAAATAATAATCTCATAATGAATTCCCGCCCCCTCCCCCCTATTTCATTTTTTTCTTTTGTCATTTTAATTATTTTACTTGTTTAAGGAAGTTTCCACATCTGCGTACACATTTTTAGCCTTGTATGCGGGGTACACATCTTCAGGAATGTAAGTCACGATTTGTCCTTAGGATTTGCTTCTAGTTTTCATTTTGATGCATCTTCAAGAAAGGCTAATCATTTTCTTCTTCATGAAGAACGCACCCATACAAACATGAAATGCGCATTCGATGCTGCACAATCCTTTCTCGCCAAGTTTTCCATACTGGCTTCATACGTTACTTTCCCCTCTTTGAACTTGTATATAAGAATGTTAATTTCTTCCTGAATTATTCAATGATTGAGCTTCAATCCCTTGTCACTCATGGAAGCAACCAAACGTTCCTCCTACACGCTGCCCTACCAGCCACTCCCTTCAATCCAAAGGTACCGGAAAAGACCCTTAATTGTCACCATGGCTTCTTCGCATGGAGGGAAGGATAATAGACGAGATTTTTATCAGGGTAAACTCGTGGATGAGAGCATGATCGAACTAAGGATGCGCATTAAGGAGATCAAGGCGTCAGAGAAGCTGCCAGACGGTTGGATGGAATGGGAGAAACGATATTTTGTGCATTACAATGCAAATATTATTGTGGCAGTGGGGTTGTTGCAGAATTTTTTGATGAATGTTAGGCCGAGTGTGGGGTTGGGGATGATGGCACTTGTTATGTTGAGTTTGCCCGTGTCAACTTGGGTGATTTTGTTTCATGCTGCAGAGTTTGCCAAAGGTTTCATTTCAGGGTTTATTATGAGATGATCTGTTGAAATTTGAAAGCTTTGCTGTTGCAAGTTTCTGGTTCTGACCAGGTCCGCTTTGAAACGGAGCCAATATAATTTTATTGGCGTCTCTTTAAAAATGAATAAACAAAAAGAAATGTAGAGATGAGGAAGAAACAAAGAAAAAAATTAAGGGGGTTACATTCATTTTAGAAACATTTCTAATATTTAGTGGAATTGTTCTGGTTCAATCAGCTTCCATACTCTAAAGTTGTAAAACTTAAAGGGTCTAAGTTAAAATTATTAACACTTCGTGAAAATATTGAAAATTTGCCCAAGCTTCGGGGGCTAGCAGTCCCCTGGTGTACCAATAAAAATTTGCCTTATTCAATTAAGACGTGTAAACGTCGTGGGATACAAATTACAAAGTACACAATTATAGTAACTGGTAATGGCAACGGCTGCTGAATGTGGACCTTTTATTCCCCAAAATAATGCTAGGAGCTTCTCTTTTTTTTTTCTTTTTTCTTTTTTTTTTTTTTTTGACAGTTAAACATTAAAATCTTGCTTAAAGAATATTTCTTCTTCTTCTTCTTTATTTATATATAGAAAAAAATCTTCATTAAACAAAAAAGAGAGAACACAATATTCCAATGTATTTGGATTTGGACACGATATTGCCCAATGATCATCATATCCTGGGTGCAATAATTGCGTTATAAAACACATAAATACGTAGTACTATTATACGGAGTACATCTAATTAAGGGGTATTTTGTGATAGTTGAGCCTTTTTTTTTCTACCCAAAACATCTCACAAAGTAGTTTTTTCAAATATACCATAACATTTTTACCCTTCTAAATTTTATAAAAAGGAAAAAAAAAAAAAAAAGAAGAAAGAAATCAGTCAAATAAGTGGAGTGAAATATTGTACCAATTTACACGTTCTGCAACATTAAAAGAGATAATACTAATATCTCCTATCATGTTGTAATATTTTTGTTGTGAATAAATATTGCGAATAAAAGCTGTGTTTCTGAAATATCCTCCTAGACATCAAAATGAAAGAGTTAGTACTTTAGTAGGTGGGTTGGTTGTGAAAAAATGGTACCCATTTAACAACAATATACAGTTACATCTTATTTATAAACAGTCAAATATAAAAAGAAAATACTATTGGAATAATTATTTTATTTATTTTTTTACATAATTTAATATATCATTAAAATAATTAATTTTTTTAATTTATATAAAATCTATAATATTAAATATATCTATTTATTTAATAACATATAAAAATTATATAAAAAAATGAAGCAAAAAAATTGTCCACTAGCATCGCAGAATATAAAATTTCACAACTCAAAACGGGATCTTTATCAGCTAACACAATCTGAACTGCCAGCAATAAACAAATTGAAATTTCATTTTTTATCAGCCAACAAAGCATTGAATTGGTCTTGAATAATTGATTTTTTATTTTTTTATTAATTAAGAAGTAAACGGTTGGAGCAAAAAATAGATTCATTTCATTATCAACTCATCAACATCAACTATTCATAGTCACAACTTTTACTTTACTTCCACCCCAAAACCAAACCCAAACCCAACCCCAAATCTCCAAATATCAATCTTACTTTACAAAGTTTTCTATCCTTCCCATTGTTTTCCTCCAAAAAAACAAACCAGTTCCTACTTCTTGTTTCTCCATTCCATCAGTTTTTTTTTTTTTTTTAATCTTTTCTGGTGTAATCTTGATTCTATTCCTGTGAAGAAATCTCAGTTTGTGGCAACTTTTGGTTGCATGATATTTTAGGCAATCTGTGATTCCAGGAAAATAAAAGTCTTTCCAATTTTCTTGGAACTTTTCCATTTTCCTTTCATGATGAACTTTTCAAATACAGTGGTGGGATTTGATTTTCGGCAACTGGGTTGGTTTTAAATTCTAAATCCTTTTCATTTCTCTTTCATCTTCTGGGTTAAAAGTTGAATAAATTGAACATAAATGGTGTCTTCCCCTGTTTTTCTGCAAAAGACCTTAAAATCGATCGGGGAAGATGTGGTTGATGCGGTATTGCCCATATCGAAACTCCTCTCCATAGCTCTAATAGGTCTGGTTCTCACCCACCCAAAAATCCAATTCCTTCCCAAAGCCACTCTCCATGTCTTGAGCAGGCTTGTCTTCTATCTGTTCCTCCCCTGTTTGATTTTTACCCACCTTGGTCCTTATATGTCTCTCAGGCATTTCGTCGAATGGTGGTTCATCCCTGTGAATGTAATCATCAGCACTACCGTTGGTTGCGTTCTGGGTTGTTTGGTGGCATTCATCTGCCGTCCACCTCCAGAGTTCTTCAGGTTCACTGTCATCATGACTGCGTTTGGAAACACAGGGAATATCCCCATTGTGGTAGTTTCAGCGGTCTGCCACACAACGGACAACCCCTTCGGATCCTCTTGCTCGGAAGGTGTTGCGTATGTATCCTTTTCTCAATGGGTATCTGTTGTTCTTGTTTATACCTTCGTTTATCACATGATGGAGCCGCCACTGGAGTACTGGAAGACTGCGGCGGAGGAAGAGGAGGAAGACGAGGCAGAGATCGTGGAAATAGAAGAAGAACAGGTACATGTCAACCTCAGCAGCCCGCTTCTCATTGAAGCAGAGTGGCCGGGGTTGGAGGCCAAAGAAACAGAGCACAGTAAAACACCCTTCATTGCAAGGATCTTCAACAGCTTCACTGGAGAATCCAGAACAGATATCCCTGATCTGGAATCAATCGGGGAGGAAACTCCAGGCAGTCCCAAATCCATCAAGTGTCTGGCAGTCCCAAAAATGGTTAGAAAGATCAGAATTGTTGCGGAACATACTCCAATCCATCACATTCTCCAGCCTCCCTTGCTGGCCTTTGTATTAACCATTATCATAGGGATGATACCGAAGGTAAACACCTTTGTTTTTGGTACTGATACAGCCTTCTCCATCATCACAGGCAGCTTAGAGATCATCGTGGAGGCAATGGTGCCATCAGTGATGCTAATTCTGGGAGGAATGCTAACGGAGGGACCAAACGAATCCAGGCTGGGACTTCGCACCACTGTGGGAATCATCATAGCAAGGCTTCTAGTGCTTCCCCTTATAGGAATTGGGATCATTCAATTAGCCAATAAATGGAGGGTGTTGGTATCTGGGGATGAAGTGTACAGATTTGTGCTTCTGCTTCAGTACACAACACCAAGTGCCATCCTGTTGGGTGCAGTTGCAAGCTTGAGGGGATATGCAGCGAAAGAGGCTTCAGCCCTTCTGTTTTGGCAACATGTCTTTGCCCTGTTCTCCCTTTCAGTCTACCTCATACTCTACTTCAGGATACTGATTTCTTATGTCTGAGGTTAGTTCATGAAATACTTGAATACTCAGTTTATGGATAGCAGTAAAGAGGACACGATGGATTATATATTAAAAATATAATTTGTTTTATAAATTTATTTTATTAAAATATTTTAATAGATATATATATATATATAGGACCGAACTATAATTTTAATATATTGTTTACTCTATAAAATATTTTTTAATTGATTTTATCAACAGGACGAAGTTAGGAATTTATGTTAGAAGCACAAAATTATAAAAAATTTTCTTACTCATTTATTAATTTATATAGTATAATTTATATCAAT